GAATATGAAAAAAAAACCCACACCTCTGTGTTGTTTATTTAAATAGAGAATTGTCTTCCTATGATTTTGTTTATGGGGACTGTACTTAAGCCACTAGGAACTACTAATTTAGTTAAAAGCAAGAATATAATGGCTATAAATATACTTTATCTCCCATAATAGTATCCACTTGAAAACTTAGTTTATAAACTAAATTAGCAGGTTTCTTGTGTCTGATAGATGTATTGAAGCTTATTTGTCTGACTGAATGGAGCATGCCTTGTTTCTGACACTTTAGGGATTTGTTACAATGATACTACGCTGCTCTGAAGAAATAAACAATATGAGCTATGCTTGGCGAAGACTGCGAGAACTGTTGGGTGATGATGTTGATAGGAAGGTCAACAGAATGTGTTTCCTCAAGGGAAAAATGGTAAGCTTTTTTCATATCTTTGCTGCTGAGCTCTTCTGGTTGTAGCCTTTCCTCAGCAATTGTCCGGGGAGATACTTGGTCTTTTTCCCTGCTCTAGGCTCTGATGATAAGGCCATAAATAGTAGAAGGATGGGCCTTAATCCTTTTTATCAGGGCTCATCTCAGGGGCTTAGGGCTCTGCTCCACTGACATGTTAAGGAGGCAGTACATAGGATAGCAGTAGGGGTAGCAGAACAGGTGAAACGTCCGAGCCTTACAAAACATGGAACAGGATTTCTTAGGACAATCAGTTCTGATAGTGCATGTCCATCATATTTCTGACACCTGAAACGGAAAGATCAGAAAGTTACTTTTTGGGTTGTGAACTTAATGATGCTGCAACAACTGAGCAAAGCTCACTGTTGTTTAAAAAAAAAAACCAAAACAACACAAAGTGATTCCCTTCACTCTTCTTGTCTCAGAATTTGTATGTGTTTTCACAAACGTGAAAATGTGTGATCAAATAGTGTGTCCAGGGTTGTTTGTGGTGACACAGAGGACAACGAATGCTTATGCTCTGCTTTTGCGAGTTGTTAGGCATTATTGCTGATTGGCTCCATCTTTGTGTTTTTCTGGATGTGTTTCTTGCTTCTCAACATATCCTAGTCACTAAAACAGAAAAGAGAGGTGCAGCAATCTTGATGACTTAATTTGTGTGCTGTCAGCACATGCCATTCTCTTATCCCTTCTGCTGCTGTTATTTTCCCGGTGCTTTCACACACCTACATTGCCATCCATACTGCATTCATATCCACGTTGAAGTTTCCATCACAGGCACCATATGCCACGTGTTGTTACAGAGAATGATTCAGTTTGTGTTTCCCTAGTTTTGTGTGGTTTAAAGTGCTATGGGATGGGGAGAACAATAGACAAACTAAAAAAAAACCAACCCCAAAACTGTTCAAAGACAAGCTGAGAGGATGCTTCAGAGGCTGATGTTGCATGAACTTTTATGTAGAGATTTGTAATGGAAGCATTAAGGTTGGTATGAGTGCAGGTGGAATGGTGGGTGCCTTTTGGAAGTACCAAAAGGAGAGAGAGGTAGAAATGGCAGGTGTTGATGGCACCTAGTTTAGCAAATCATCAAAATCACAGCACATCTGTATGCCAATACTGAGCATACCCAGACCTGGTGGACTAGAAAGCCTAAAACAAGGGACAACCTACACTTGGACAACAGTTTAAGGATTTGAATTTCATGCGTAGTTCACAAGGTTTCTTGGCCAGACACTTCTGATTTTAAATTTGACTTAGGGTACTTCTTTATGTCAGTGAGCTATTCTTATTATTTCCATTGCTGAAATTTTTTCTTAATGTGTCCTTCACACGTGATATTTGATATTGTGTTAATTGGTAAGGTTTATCGTACTTTGCTCTGTCTCTTTATTCGCAGCATTGTTCTGTATTTGATGTATGCAACGCTATCTGTGGATGGTTTTCCTTACATCAGATTTGTAATTCTCAGTACCCAGATTGTTCATTCAGACAAAGAATAGCATTTTAACATGTGAATTATGTATGGTACTTAATCATTCAAGGAGTTTAATTTCAGATTTTTAGTCTGAACCTAACTATTCAGTTTACTGTGTGTATACATTTCTTAGTATAGATTAAAACTTCTGATTTGAAAGAATTTACAAAGTGAGTAATGCAGAAGCCAATAGACCACACTTTAGGATAGATAGGGTTATAAGCTCACTGTAAAAGTGCAAGAAAATGTGAATTGGAAGTACTGGCTATACAGAGGAAAGAAAAATGTGTATATCTGAGGAAAACTTTAAGGAAGTGCAAGTATGGGTGTCTTGATAAATACCGATGCAACTCTCAATGTCCAAAGATTTCAAAGTATCTTCAATCTCTATTAAAAAACACTTTGAAATTTAAAACACTTCGTTCTAGTATATAGATTTGTAGGCTGTATTTTTTCTAGTTGCAGCAAATTAAAAGGCTAGACTTGTATCCATTAAAATTATTCTCTCTTTTTAGGGTGTGTGCTTTGATATTCCTGCAGCAGACCAAAAGGAAATAGAGGTACATTCATTGAAATTTCTGGTTATGGCAGTCTGTAGATGAAACTGGCTGGACTGGGTTATGCAGAAAACACTACATAGTCTGTATCCTGCCTTTCCCAGTGGCAAAAGGGATGGCTTTGAAGGAACTGCAAAAAACAGAACAAGCATACAGTGTTCCTTTCCTAGTGTATTCCCTTGTCACCAAAAATCTGTAGCTTGAAACTTTTGCACTGACAAGAGTGGTGGTGTGAGCAATCCACCCCTTGTTACTGCTGCTGGGTTAATTTTTGTGGACAACAAGTTTCGTTACACTATAAAATCCCCTTTTCTCTATTCTCCTACACACACCATTCTTCTCAGCCAGAATTCTCTCCCCAGAAAAGTGAATTCCAGGTTTTTGCTTGGCAGAATTAGTATTCCCATGCCAAAATTCCCTAGACTACCAATCTTTCCATCAGGTATTTCTCCATTAGTACATCTCTATACCCTCGTGCCCTACTATTCATTCACTCCTAAAACAATATTTAGTTCTGGATTAGAGGGGAATTGAGGAGAGGGTGTGGATTTGTGATCAGTAATAATGATAGTGGTATTCTTAATAAAGGAAAGGTGGGGAAAGTTTACTGATGCGGCTGCTCTGTAAAACTCTTAAGGTGGGTTTCCATTCTGTTCCATAGTATCTGAGGTGTACTCTGACAGCTGTAGCTCTTATGCTTAAAATTTTGAAACCAGTATTGACCACTTTAGTTAGAAACTGGAATCTCCTATATTAGCTCACAGTCTTGCCTTTTCTGCTGAGCAAATTCAGGAATTTAACTTGCTATATCTGACTTTTATTTCAATAGGCAAGATGGGAAGATTCAAAACAATGGCGTTTGTGCGTGGCGACTGAATTACCTGAATTAGTAGAATCCCAGCGAGGAGGAGGAGGCGGAGGTGGAGGAAATGGCCGAAGCTTCTCAAGCTCCAGGAACGGGCGGCGTGGTAGCTCTGGTAGAAACAGATTCAGAAGCAGAGGCCAGAAACGAAGTTTTGACAGAGCATTTGATCGTTAACTTCAACAAAGAAAGTGGAAAAAATGGGACTGCAGTATTTTATATCACATTAAAGTAGGCTGTTCCTCTGTGTTTGTACCACTTGGAAAAATCTGTCATTTAGTTTTTTGTTTTTTTTTCCCTCAGTACTACTTTGGTCATAAACAAGATCCTGTTCACTTTAAAAAACACAAGAAAAATAAAACTTATTGTTTAGTTTCTTTCTTGTATCGCCATTTCACCTGTAAGACCTAAATCTTTATTCCAGAATATGGCTGTTGCGTTCAAAATTGTAGCCTGGCTCACTGTATAATATATAGATCTTAACTGCTGGTAGAACCTGTACATTTTCCAAAAAAAATAAAATCTATTTTACAAGTTCATATTCCGTTAGAAGGTTTTGAAACCTTCTTTGTGGGTTGGGCAAAGGCGAGTAGAGTAGTTTGAGTATAGGCACTTGGGAGTATATTTTTTATGACAGAGAATCATCAATGGGAAGGACCTTAAAGGTCATCTAGTCCAACCCCCCTGCCATGGGGGCATAACACGTCTTCCTGGGAGCCTTCTCCAGGCGGAACAACCCCAGCTCTCTCAGCCTGTCCTCAGGGGAGATGCCCCGGCCCCCTCATCATCTTCACAGTCTCCTCTGTCCCTGCTCGAGCAGGTCCGTGTCTGTCTTATGCTGGGGGCCCCAGAGCTGGATGCAGCACTGCAGGTGGGGTCTCACCAGAGCAGAGGGGGAGAATCACCTCCCTGGACCTGCTGGCCACCCTGCTTGTGATGCAGAGCCCAGAATGCGACTGGCTTTCTGGGCTGCGAGCGCACATCCCTGGGTCATACTCAGCTTTTCATCCACCAGCACCCCCAAGTCCTTCTCAGGGCTGCTCTCTATCCACTTATTGCCCAGACTGTATCTGTGCTTGGGAGTGCCCCTACCCAGGTGCAGGACCTTGCACTTGGCCTTGTTGAACTTCCTGAGGTTTGCACGGGCCCACCTCTCCAGCCTGTCACCACACAGCTTGTTGTCGGCAAGCTTGCTGAGGGTGCACTCGATGCCACTGTCCATGTCGACGACAAAGGAGGAAGCATTTCCAAGCACTGGTACATTCGGTAAGTATTGTTTTGCCGGTAGACGTGCGTAGGAGTGGGAAAGCAACCTGGTTACCGGATTTTGAAGCGTGGCGGCGGGAGCCCTGCGAGGGGAGGAGGCGGCGGCGCGGTCAGAGCCCGGTGCACGGGGGAAGCCGGAGGAAGGGACCGGACGGGCAGCGCCGGCGGAAGGGGCGGGCCCGGGCCGGGC